TATTTTTACTTTTGCAGCTCAAGACACCAGTTTTACCTTCTGGTTCTAATACACAGTCTCCTCCCAAATATATACTTTTCAGGAAGTTAACGAAGTGAGTGCAACATTGAAAGGGAAAATATTCATAATAGTACATACAGGAGGGAGTATGTGGTAAAAATCTTGAAGGGAGGTTGCCAGGGACTGGAGTCTGGTAAACACTATTATATGGCCCAGAGTGTGCTCGAAAGCATGACAGCAGGCGGACACATTCACAGACGCGTGTGAGTGCACAATTTAAGCTGCGCCCTAACGAGGGCCTGTTAATTACTGAGGTCCGTCCCACACCGGGAATGCCCATTTCAGCAAGTGAAAGACAACTCACTGGTCCTCACTTCAGAAAAGGTTCCTTCACATCCTTGGTGATCTTGACCTCTGACCTCTGACCATAGCCTTCCCTCACCAGCATAACAGCCATCAGAAATGACTTTCTTTCCTGGTGAAGGAAGGGTGTTCTAGAAATACTCTCAGACACTCTGGCCCTTGCGTGAACCGGACTCGGTGTGCCCAGCGCTGCCGTCCGGTGGTGGGGGTGCCCTGGGCCTGGAGCCCTGAATCCCCTGTGTTCTGCCTCTTCTTGAAGACTTTACATGGTTAGGGTGAGCTGGTCCCCCGTCTGTCTCGAGGAGATGTCCATGCCAAGTGGGGTCAGACACACAGCTGGTATTCCAACGAGCTTTGGGACCACCTGAGCGGCTGTTTGGGGAACTTGTAGGTGGGGCAGGACTTGGCTGAGCCTCGTTTTCATTACGTTTTGATGAGCAGAAGTTCTTCAATTTAATGGAGTAAGTAAGTCGATTGTTTCGCGCTTGGTATTTTTGGTATCTTTAGAAATTCCTCTATACCTAGAGATTATAAAGACATCCTCCTATTTTTATCTTGTGGAACCGTTTATAGCTGCCTCTTACATTTCAGTCTTTCATTTCCTTGGAAATAATTATACGTGTGGTATGAGGGAGAGGTTCGTTCTTTTTGGTTTATTTTTCACATGTGGATATCCATTTACATAGTCATCCCCTCTCCCCTCAGTGATCTGCAAAGCTGCCTTTGTCAGTGACCTCAGCAGCCAAATGTACGCAGGTATTCTTCTGGATTCTCCGTTTTGCCTCATTGGCTTACCTCTCCTTGTGCCCACACCACACTAGGTTAAACGCCGTAACTTTACAATAGATCTGGTAAGCAGGAAGCTTCTTCCATTGTGATGGGCACACTCCTGGTAGCTCGCTGCGGGGGTGTCTAGGGCACTCATCTACTTTTACATGGTGGAGACCACCAGTTTCAAATACAGGTGACAGCGATAGGTTGAAGTGGCTCGCCACAATGACATCGATAGACAGAAATGCTACATAAAAGCCCATGCAGTCTGAAGAAGACTTTGCGGACGTGGTGAAAAAAAGGGGCAGCGTCACCTCCTTCCAGGAGGGCAGCTCCCTCCAAGCTAAGCCCAGGGGATGTGGCCAAAACTAAAAATCCACAATACCTGCTCCGCCTCTGATGCTGCATCCATAGCCAGGGCGGCCACTCCCACCCTGTGCTCGGGGAACACACGCACAGTTTCTTCCCTGGGGTTAATCCAGGCAAGGTCAAGGTCTCTGCACACTCCTGGTCAGATGCAGGAAGCTGCTGCTGTCCCTTATTGCTTCAGGCCTTTAAACCTCCCTTCCCACATCAAATGTCCAGCACCTGGAACTCTCCAGACAGGAGGGAGTTGGGACTGGAGAGAAGCTGGGGGGCTGGGGAAGACGCCAGAGGGTGTGCTCGGGGCTGAGAGACCACAGCTTGTGGGGAAGGTGCCAGCTAGAACTTCCCAGCTGCTCCAGGTGACCCCAAGGGTCCAAAGTTCTTGCCAACAGCTTGGACAAAGGACTTTCAAGCTTTAGATGTTTGGACAGGGACAAAGATAGCTGGGAGACGAGAGTCCTCTGTTTATGCCTGACCGTCCTGCCCCTTACCCCTTTGTACAGGACAGAGAAGGGTTGGAGTTGTATCTGCTTCTATGAGATACATGCTTAAATATTTCGGCTTCTTGAATTTTACATTCTTAGAGAGGCCGTGAGCGGCAGGGGAGGGCCGAGGCCTAAGAGGCCTGGTTCGACTCACAAACTCGCCGATACCATTCTCGTGGGCAGCTCTGGGGGGTCTCCCTGCCTCATATACACAGTGGAACAAAAAAACCTACCGTCCAGGTTACTGGAGAGATAAAACGAGGCCGCGTGTGGCAGAGAAGACACGCCACCAGGAGGGACAGTCTACCCCTGCGTGAGGTCTCCTGCTGTGAGGAGGGTCACCCACCCTCCCCTGCCCCTTTTACATTTTTTCTAGATTGACTAGAATGTAATTTATGTACCCTAAAAGTCACCCATAGAAGTACGCTAAGCTCGATGATATTTAGTAAATTACAGAGCTGAGCAACCGTCACCACAGCCTACTTCTAGAACTCTCCGTCACCTCAGAAACTTCCCCCGGCCTCATTTGCAACGGATCCCTCCTTCCAGCGCCCCAGGCCCCGGAAACCACCGGTCTGTTTTCCGTTTCTATAAATCCGCCTCTTCTGCACATTGCACATAAATGAAATCATACGTTATGCAGTCTTTTTCATCTGGCTTTTTTCCCATCTAGCATCATGTTTCTTGAGATTCATCCACATGGCAACATTTATCATTACTGCACTGCGTTTTATTGTAGAATAATATTCGATTCCAGGGGCATTCTACATTTTATCTGCTCACCCAATGACGGACGTTTGGATGGCTTCCGACTGTGGGCTGTTACGACGTGAAATAATCATGCGCTGTGCTATGAACATTTGCATCCAAGCCTTTGTGTGCATGTAAGGTTTTAATGCTCTTGAGTACATACTTAGAAGTGGCCATATGATACATTTCACTTCCAAAGACACTGCCCGGCTGTTTTCCAATGTGGCCCCCCGGCCCGTGTTCCCAGCTCACCGACGCCTCCAGTCCCCCCCAGGTGCTCAGTGACCCTTGGTCTTCCCTGTCTCGCTGATTACGGCCAGTCTAGTGGCTGTGTGGGCATCGCATTACGGTTTTATATTGCATTGCCCTAATGATTAGTGATTAATGATGTCGAGCCCCTTTTCATGAGCTTGTTGACTATCATCTATCTTCCTTCTATGCAAATCTTCTGCCTGGTTCTAAGCTGGGTTGTCTTTTTATTGCTGCGTTTCAAGAGTTCTTTACGTAGTCTCAATACAAACCCCTTATCAGATATACAAATTATGGATATTTTCTCCTAATTTGTGACACATCTTTTCATTTTCTTCGTGGTATCAACTTATAGAAGTTTATAAGTTGAAGGAAGTCAAATTTAGCAACTTTGGCCCTTTGGTGTCCTATTCAAGAACTCCTTGCCTAAACTAAGGTCGCGAGGATTTTCTCCTACGAAGGTTTTCTTCTAGAAGTTCCATAGTTTTCGTTCTTGTGTTTAGGTCTATGATCCCATTTGAGTTGATGTTCTGTGCATGATGGGTCCAACTTCCTTTTTGCATGAGGATGTCATGTTAACCCACACTATTTGTTGGAAAGATTGTTCTTTCCTGTTGAATTTCTTGGTACCTTTGCTGAAAAATCAGTTGCCTGCAAATCTGTGAGACTTTGCTCCTAGACTCCCAGTTCCATCCCATGGACCTGTGTGCGGATCCAGACAGCTCCACGCTGTGTGGACTACAGCAGCTGCATAGGAGGTTTTGAAAACGGGCAGCACAAGCCCTCCAATTTTGTTCTTTTTCAAAACCAGTTTGGCTATGTTGGGTTCTTTGCATTTCCAATCCCTTTGGGATCATCTTGTTAATTTCTAAAAACCAAAAAGCCTGCCGGGATTTGGGCAGTGATGGCACTGACTCTGTAGATCAGGTTGGGGAACACGGCCTCTTTCCCACTGCTGAGCCTTCCATGCCGTAGACACGGGATGCCTCGCTGTTAAAGCAGAGCTTCTTTAATTTCACTCGGCAGTGTTCTGTAATTTCAGCGTTCAACCCCTGGACTCCTTGTATTAATGTATCCCGAGGTATTTCATTCTTTTCGACGCTACTGTGAGTAGCACTGTTTTATTCATTTCATTTCTGGGTTGTTCATTATACGTGTATAGACATCCAATCGATTTTTGTGTACCGATCTTGTATCGGATGATCTTGCTAATAAGCTCGTTATGAGTGCTGACAGGCTTTCGGTGGGTCGCTTTGGGTTTTGTACAATAAAATCATGTCATCCGTGAATGATGGCGTTTTTACTTCTTCCTCTCCAAACTGTATGTCTTCTGTTTTTTTTTTTGCCCGCCCACCCTGGCTAGAACTTCAAAACAGAGCAGAAGTGACAAGAGCAAATGGACAAGCTTAGTTCCTGATCTCAAGGGAGAGAGAGCATCAGCTGCTCCACTTTTAAGGCATTTCTTGCTATTCCTACCATTTTCCCATCACCATGGCTAATGATTTTAATTTAGAGAAGTACTAAAGATAAGGGAAGCTACACAAACTAAAAAATACGCTTCTTTCCTGACCACAGCCTCACATCAAACAGAGTGTAACTAAAAGCAGGCCCCTTGTTTTTTTTACAGCGTTCAAGAGATTGGAAACCAGCTGCCCTGGGCACTTTTGTACCCTTCATGCACAGTGGGACACTGCCCAGCCACTAAAGGTAGGCTCAAGAAGATGTTTTAATAGCATGGGGAATTCTTATAATATTAAAGACAGCAACAAAAATAACACAGGTAGGATGCTCTCAATGCCATAAAGCAACGCATGGAGGAGAGATAGGAGAGAAAATATATAAAACACTCCATAATTGCTGCCTCTGAGTTGAAAGATCACGGACGACTGTTTTTTCCTCATTTCTTTACCTTTGTTTCAACTGAACAGCTTTCGGCAACGAGCATCAGGAAAGAAGGGAAAACCCGGCCCCGGGGGCAGACACAAGCCGCAGAGAGCTGGCAGCCTTCTGCCTTACCTTACAGTACTCGTCGATAGGGATCAGGCGCTTGACGGCCACGTCCCGGATGTGGCTCCGCCGGAAGAGAATTTTGCCTGAACGAGAGAACACACAGCATCATCAGCGGGCTGCCACAAGCTCTCAGCCAACTGCAGGGGGCGCTGCGGGTGTCTCCAGGAGGCCTGAGTGGGACCCGGACTCTGGCTGTCATCAGTAACCCCTGTTGGACCTGCACAGGGCCTGAGGGACCCCGTGCTTGGTCCTCCAAAGCCCTGTTCATAGCTCTAGTGCAAAGGCTGGAGGGCGTGGGGCCCGGTAGGTAAGTTTGGATGAGTTAAGGGAGGCTGGCACCGACCTGTGGAAGGAAGACACTCTCACTCCTACCTGATGGTCTCAGGTGTGCTGACCGGCTCAGGGTTCTCACGCTGCCGGGGCAGTGCAGCGAACACTCGGACAAGCCCTGCCCTCATGGTTCGGTCTCCTTTCCTCGTCCACCTTCTTTCCGCTCTAGACTTAAGTTCCCCAGCCCGCCCTGGTGTCCCACGATTCTGTGCCTTTCCCTCTGCCCCCAGGATACCCAACCTCACCCACCGTCCCTGTTGGGAAACTCGTACCCGCTGCACATGGTCAAGAGTTTCTGCCCCTTTCTGACTGCGCACATCTCATTACCCATTTGCTGGTCTTCCTTCCTACCAGTCATGACTGCGCACATCTCATTACCCATTTGCTGGTCTTCCTTCCTACCAGTCATGGGGCTCTGCACAGATAGGGACCGACTGGGCCTCAGTCAGTCTGTGCCCTCACCAGGTGGCACTAACATCTGATCGATGCAGGAAGGTGGCTTCCACATGCAAAGACGACACATCCCTGAATGCAGACACCCTGACTGGTGTTTGCAGCAGAAGGCAGCCGAGCCTCCCGTCCTCCCTGAACACCGAGGGTCCATCCAGTACTTGCCCAGTACCATCCTGAGCACTGGGGGGAGGAACCGCAGCCTCCAGCACAACGTACAGGTCAAGGAAGTGGGTCATGGGCAAACGCGAGTATGTACATTTACCACCCAGTGCTCCCAGAAATACCCAAAACACTGAAATGTTATGGGCAGGGGTTGTTTAAAGCAAGTCTGTGGGTTCCCAGGAGTCCCGTCAGGAGAGGGTAGCCAAGCGCATGCGCCAGGCTAGCCTGGGCTCCGGGTTCTGAATGTGTCACACATCGGCAGGGACAGGGAAAGTCAGAAAAAAAGCCATCACGGAAGGCCACAGGGGTGGGAGACAGACATGAGTCCCTCTGCCAGGCTTATGGAGAGCTTCCGGGGGTGGGGGCAGAGTCTAGGGGTCCAAGCTCTGGGAGACCACAGCTGTCCAGGCAGCACAGCATGGACGCCCGCTAGAAGCTTCACCAACCCTGGTCTGAGGTCAAGGAGCAGAGTCTGGGTCACGAAGCTGGCGGGGCAAGGAGAGATGAAGCCCTGTTCTAAGATCAAGCCTGGGCGAGTGGGGACAGGATGGCAGGCAAGGTTCACGTTCCCACGGCAGGACAGAACCGAAAGGGGTGCCAGGAGAAAGCCGACTGATTTTGAAAGATTTGCAATGCAAGCTGGCAAGGAAGACTGGAAGCCAAAAAGACCATTTAGCTAATTCAACATTTAAAAATAATCAAACAACTTGCTTCTGGGTAAAAAAAACACAACACCATTAGGAAATTAGGTAGCTACAGTCAGCATAATTGAGCTTCCTTTCTCATGTCCACCAATTAAGTCACAGTGAGATAAAATACATATTCCTCATAGCCCTTAATAACTAGGAATCTCCTTTGTTAATGACGATCATAGGTTTAATTCGATCACATTTCTGATATACCATGATTAGAAAAATCTAGAAGGAAGTACATCCCAGGGTTCAGAGTGCTTGTCTCTGAGGAGTGGAAGAAAGAGACTTTTGTTTTCTTCTTTATACTTCTGCCAAAGTTTCTACCATAAACATGTAAGGCTTCTAGAATCAGAAAATTTCCAAGTCATTCAGAACAGCAACAACAAAAAAGGCCAATAATGCAGCCACGGGGGAAGGGGCTTACAATCTGACTTTCCTGGAAAGGTCCACATGCAAAGCCCAGGTCCACTTGGTGGGCGCAGGTTCTAGTCGGACCCTCAGTGTGCCAGCGCTGGGGGCCTGCCCTCTTAGCACGGACGGAGGGCGCTCCCCAGCAGGCAGGGACCCTGCTGCCGTGTTGGGTGAGGCCGTCCTTCCCTGAGGGGGAGTGCCCCGACCTCGCAGGATGTTGGGCATCCCGGGCCCAAAGCCAGAGAGGGCTGGTAGCCCTCCCACCCGCCTCCCTCTCCCATGCCCAGTCCCTGTGAGAATCAATTCACCGCCATCGTGGGTGGGAGTTGGAACCCTTAGCCTTGTGCCGCCCTCTAAGCTCCTTCTCAGAATGGGAGAGGAGTCCCTTCCAAAAGGGTTCAGTCCCATTTGGGTATAACTTCCCCTTCTGTAAGCCACAGGGAGGGTGTGGAGTGGGGGGCACAGGCTCCTTCCCGAGAAGGTGCGAGCCGGCTCGACAGGCCCGGGGCTGGCAGTGCCGACGCCCCTCCTGCCCCGCCCCCGGCCCCCAAGAGCAAGGCTGCCATCAGAGGGGATTCACCCACCACCTGGCCTGCAGGGGCTGAGAGGCACAGACAGAGAACTCAGGTGCCTTCGGTGTCCCCACAGGGTGTGACACAATGACAAAGGCATCACTCCCCTCCCTGTGCAGCCTCAGTGGGACGGGAAGCCTGGTGTGGATCCCAGGGCTGCCTCTTACTGACAGCACCGCCTTGGGAGACGCACTGCCACCAGAGGCTGGGTCTCCTCGTCTGTCACGTGGGCACACAGCCCCTTCTCTTTGTGGTCGTCTCTGTCACACACGCTGTGCAGGGCCCAAGGCCCTCACAAACGGGCAATGTCTTTCCGTTTTGCTCCAACTGTTTAGAAGATGCTGCCTTACACTCTGCACTGAAGAGCATGTGTGAGCCCCCAGCTTTATTTCTTAAGACCTGCCTCCTGCTGGCCTATTCGCCATTCACCCTCCGCAGAGCTGGAGTTACTGCTCAGGACAGGCCGCGGCCGGCGTGTCTGCACCTGATGTGAAGTGTTTCCGCGTGAGTCGTGGGGAAGAGGGTGAGCCGGCCTGCACCCATCCCTCGCCGGCCAGCTGGGCCAGCCCGCCTGGGGTGGAAAGGGTGCTCAGTGTGGAGAACAACAGCCTTTGGTGGGAACGAGCAGGCTTTTGTTTTCCACAGTGGACGAAGGCCAAACTGTAATTTTTAATTTGCAAGCTACGTCCTCTGCCAAGTTGGCCGCCCCAGCTCTTACTGGGGTGGAAAATTGCAGAGGGCGGCTCTCCCCTCCCCCTGCCTTTGTGCTAATGTCAGACCTGCTTTTGTTCTGCTGACAGGGCAGGCCTGGCAGAAAAGTGACCCCTAGGAGAGGGAACTTTCTCCCTTGGGTCCCTGACCTTGGCCTCGAGGAAAAGCTGGGAGGTGGCCTGGGAAGGGATGCTCCAGGCGTCCTGGGGCCCAGCAGGACCTCTCCAAGCGACAGTGGGTGTCCTGAGTAGGGAAGTCAGCCGAGTCCCTGAGAACGGTATTCTCATGAATTCGTGGGTGGAAACGAATTACGTAACCACGAAAGCTTTCAGGGGCTTGGGAGAGGGTCGGCTCAAGTTCCTCCCTCTCCTGGGAAGTTTCTCCAGAGCCGGTTTTGCCTTTCATCCAGGAAAGACCTAAAACTCACTGCTTTCCTTTTCTACCGTGGAGAAAATCTTACATTTACAGTCCAGCTCAATGTGAACATTCAGACTGACCACTGAAGTCGGACTCCAAGATATGAAACACCAAGCAATGCCAAAGGAATGTCGCTGGGCCCTGTTTCTGCCTTTACAGAGAACCTACTATGTGTCCGGGGGAGAAGCCCGTGAAGCAGGGATCATGTCCCATTTGATAGACGTGGAAACTGAGGCTCAGTGCAGGGCGGGGTGGAGGTCTCAGGGCTGGTCTGTTTGACTCCAAAGCACGTGCTTGGAGCAATGACATTTGGCTATTGCAGTTGGCACTCCCGGGTGTCTCCAGTAGGGAAAAGAAATTCCAGTGTGATTGCACACTTTCCTCGTGGAAGAACTAAAAACATTAGCTCTTTCAGGCAGACGACCCTCCCAGTGGATGGGGGTCTGGCAAACACACCTTCCCTGTCCCTAAACCCCAGCCACAATGACAGCATCTGGAAGAACCCTGGAGTGGGGGAGCGGGGCCTGGCTCTGGGGTGACCGGGGCGTCTCCCCCACCGCTCGCTGGGCCTGCTCCTGCTTCTGCAAAATGAAAAGATCTGAAGGGCCCTTCCAGCTCGAAATATGTGTGATTTGGGGCGACCACTGCTTTGCTGAGGGTGTGTGTGTAAAAGCAACAGGAAGCGCTCGCCTGTCGCCAGCTCTGTGCAGGCACTCACCACTGCTATTTATGTGCCATCGTCACCTCCAGGTTGCAAATGAAACTCAGGGTGCACCCCAGGAACCAGGGCGTACGAGGAGAGCGCTGGGGTTGGAACCCAGGCCGAGAGACTTCGGGCACCAATTTTGGAGCTGGGCCCACCCTGTGTTTGGACCCCAGCGCTACCATTTGAGCGAGTGATTATAATTTCTCTGAGCCTCGGTGCCTGCAGCTGTGAAATGGGCACGTTTGTAACGACTACCCTGCAAGGCTGTTCTGAGGATGAAGTGAGGGAATGAACGCGATGTACTTAGCCCGGCGATGGGCACACGGTAGACAGACACCCAGTCAGCAGTTGCTATGGAGACAGCAGCACTGGGTAGCCCGCTTATCTGAGCTGATGCTATTCCTTTGGTAAGGGGTTTTTCTGGGAAAGGGACAGGAATGACTCAAAAGCAGGCGCCCTTGTCACATTTACTGCTCCACGGCACCTGGAGAGGTGCCTGGTACCCAGGAGGTCCGAGGTAGGTAGGCTGGTGGAATTTCTAAAATGCCCCCGGACCCACGAAGATGTCCCACCCCAATCCACAGAGCCTGGGCCTGTGATTGGATCTCACAGCTGTGGTCTGTTACGTCTCGGGCCATGGCTCCCTTTCCGAGAGGGAAACTACCCTGCATCAGCCAGGTGGGTACAACGTAATCACAGGAACCCTTTGAAGGAGACGGCTTCCTCCAACGGGTCACAGGAGGGGCAGTCGCAAATGCTGAAAGTCCAAGAAGGAATCACTGCCTCGCTGCCAGTCTGGGGGAGGAGGGATGCAGGCAGCCCCCGGAAGCAAGGAAACAGGCTACAGGCATCTGGGTTCCAGGGCTGCAAGTCACTGAATTCCTCCCCAGATCCTCCACATAGGAGCCCAGCCCAGTCAAGGCCTTGATCTTGGCCTTGTGAGACCCTAAAGAGAGGACCCCACTGAGCCCACTGGGATTTCTGACCAAGAGAACTGTGAGATATTAAATGCGTGCTCTTTTAAGCGGCTAAATTGGCGGCCATTTGTTACACAGCCATAGAAAACTGATGCGGCAGCCGTAATAGATGCCACTCATGATAAAACTTTATGAGCTTCGTTATTCCCATTTTAGACGCAGGAAGAACTGAGTCTTAAGCTAGTAAATGGCATAACACCTAACCCCAAGGCACATGCTCTTAGCCACTAAAACCCACAAATGACTGAGACTCTGGTCACTGGGACAGTGCCCCAAGGAGGACGCATCGAGAGACCCAGGGGCCACCCCGGGCGCCCCACCGGCCCCGTCTCAGAGCACCCGCCTCACCTACCAGGCAGAAAGGGGATGATGCGCTGCTTGGGGTCCTTCTGGCCGCCCTCCGTGGGGAATTTGTCCAACATCTGCATCTGTACAGGGGAGGACAACAAACAGGATAAATGCACCTCTGACATTTAAAGGAAGAATCTGGAGTATGAGACCTGACACACAAAAGCTCACCTTGTTCTGCTTTTCAGAAGCCGGGACTGATGGAGAAGATGCTGTAAACGAGCCCCAGGATCCCCATGTAAACAGTTCTTTATGTCCAAGGCTGCCAGACTCGGGAAGGCTCAGAGAGCTAGGACAGACCATCCCAGGTTTCCCCGGGGGTCTCCCACCCCAGGGTCTGGATGCGACAGCACCTGCAGGGCCACCGGAATTCCACGGGTGGCGGGTCATCCTGTTTCCTAAGAACTGCTGGGTGGTGCCAAGGAACAAACCATGGAGACAAGTCATTACACTCGCTTGCCCCATGAAGATCCCCCCCGGGGGCGGGTTGCGGTGGGTTCGACAGGCAGCTCTGTGCCTGGCTCCGTGCCGGCCTGTGGCGCACAGTGATGAAGGACTCCCAGTCTGGAGAGGAGGCTGGAAAGGTAGTTGACCACTGCAGGTGTCAGAAGCGCCCTGAGAGGGAGGTGCGGGTGCTGTGGGGACAGAGGAGGAGCGGAAACAGAGCAGTTCACTCGTGCAACAAACGCCTCTCTGACCTTTGAAGGAATTAATGGGAAATACCTGATTCGATATACAAAACCACAAAGATGGGCAACTGGTGGTCTCGGGGAAGGGAGGCCTTGGGCCTCATCTTTAAGTCAGTCCTAACGATACCAGCTGGCAGGGTTACTCTACAGATTAAAGCCGTGGTATCATTAACGCCGCCAACTGATTTCTGGTCCTACATTTGTGCACGTGGTAGATTTGAACCTCTCCACCCCCTTGAGGTGGGATGTGGTCCATTAAATGTGAGTGGAGGACACACGTGTCACTTGGGGTGGAAGAGTTATGAGTGGTTCGTGACTCTGTTTCCTTCTGCCATGGTGACTGGCCACATTCCAGACGGTGGCTTCTCTGACAGTGAGGGTCCTGGAGTGAGGGTCCAGAGCCCCCGAGGACCTTTGACGGACAGGGAGCCTGAGTGAGAAATAAACCCTGTAGTATAGCGAGGCTAGCTGTCATAGCAGCACATCCTAACCCGTCCTGACTAGTGCATGGGCCCAGGACTCAGGCAGAGAAAAAGCCACCCTGGCACTCAAGATGTGTCCCTCTGACAGAATGACAGAAGCTTCCAGTAGCCCAGGAGAAATAAGCACAGCTGCTGTGGAAGCATTTAGGGGGTAAGAAAAGATATGAAGCAGATGAGAAGAAAACCATGTATGTGTGCTAAGCATGCACTAGATTCTTTAGGCATGCTCTCACTGAATCTCCAGAATGCTCCTTTAAGGTGGACATTACTATCCAGGAAGCCAAAGCCCAGAGAAGTGAAAGAATGTGGCCAGCAGGAGCTGGGGCTGGAGACTGTGGCCCACGTGCTTCTCTGCCGCCACGTTGCCGCCCTCAGAGGTGCTGTGAAGACAGTTAAACAGGACTCTCCTCAGCACTCAGGGAACAGGGCCATCTACCCCAGCTCCAGCTCCCTGCCTCCTCGGTGCTGCTGTGTGACACCCTGGGGTGGGGGGGGGGTCAGCCTCAGCTTGGCCAGCACCCTGAAGGGCTGCCCACCAAAGCTGTGGTTTTATTTGTGCTGCGGGGCGATGGGGAAAATGCTTGGTCTACATTGTTCAGCAACTGGTGAGGCCAGAGCGGGCCTCGCTGGAAAAGGCAGGCTTCCCTTTAGGAATCCAGGATCTTTCCAACATGGCACACAGTAGGCCCTCAGTACAAACAGACAAAAGCAATGAACGCAACTGAGTGAGATGTGGTAGGGAGCAGCTTCGGGAGATGTTTGCCGAGTACCCCTGATTAATAATATTCATATTACTAATCTTAAATACTAACGAGTACCCTCGACCAACATGATTGGCAGCTGCCTGTTCTCAAGCCTTCTCACACACGTGATTTTATCTGACCTTTGTAAGAATACCATGACATAAATGCACGGTCTCCCTGTCACAGATGGGGGCGCCAGGGAGCAGAGAGGGGCAGTGCATGGCCTCAGGCCACTCTGCCAGGCGGTCATCTAGCCAATTCAAACACCTTAATCTAAATGCAGTTCTCTTCCCTGAGGACCACTCTCTTAGGCGGAGGGTGACGTGAACCTGAAAAATCAGCCTGCGATGGGGAAAGTTTAATATTCCACACACAGGTACACAGCACGCTTTCTTTTCAAAAGCAGGGTGATTAGCCAGGCTCTGCTGTAGAGGGTTTTAAGGATTTATAGGTTTTGTCTAACACTATCTTCTTTTTCCCTTCTCAACTTCGTTTAATAAGACAATGTCGGAACACCATGAAATGGAACTTAAAAAAAAAACCAAACGCACGCACCAGTCATCCGGCCACCCCGCCGTGCCTGTGGCCACTCTTCTGGGTGCCCGGGGCCCATCTGAATGTGCACCCCTGCCCAGAGGCCCTGTGCAGCGCTGTAGCTCAGACCTCCCCGTGGTCTGCACTGCTCTCTCACAGGAAGTTACTCTCACGCTTCGTCCTGACTTGCTTTTACCCAGAGGAGCGTGGCCCAAAGAGCGGAAGTGTTATTTATTAATTTGAGGCAGCAGATGGGCGCTTAATGCTGCAAAGTCTAACCACAGGTATTTTATCCCCGGGGGCCAGACAGCCCTGAGTTTAATCCCTGTGCTTCCTCTTGCCAGCTGCGCGCCCTTAGCCAGATACCTCACTTGTCGGGTCTGATTTACCGTCTGTGTGATGAGGAACACAGAACACAGGGGTTGTGGGAAGGAATGATGAGTATGAACTCTTTGGGGGCATTGTAGGTGCTTAAGAAGAAATGTACCGTCCTTGCGCTCTGCCCATCATGAATATCTTCTTTGGAAAGTTATTTGGCCTGGCCGGTGTGGCTCATTGGATTGAGTGCCAGCCTTCGGACCACAGGGTTGAAGGTTCAATTCCCAGTCAGGGCACATGCCTGGGTTGTGTGGGTCAGGTCCCCAGTAAGGGGCATGTGAGAAGCAACAACACACTGATGTTTCTCTCCCTCTTTCTCCTTCCCTTACCCTTTCTCTAAAAATAAAAATAAATAAAATCTTTTTAAAAAAAAGTTATTGCAGAATAATTTTTAGTAGTTTGTAAGGTGATGTGTTTTTTTTGTGTTAAGTATACATAACATAAGTTATTATCTCAACCATTTTAAGTGCACGATTAAGAGGCACTAAGAACATTCACATGGATGTAACGATTCCCATGGTCCAACCCCGGAACCCAAGCGGAAACTCCGTGGCCATCAAACACTAACTCCCAGGCCCCTTCCCAGCCCAGGGTACCCGTCACGCTACTCTCTGACTCCATAAACCTGACTATTCTCGGTATTGCACGTAAGTGGATCCATTCAGTACTTGTTCTTTGTGGCTGAGCATGTCTTCTAGGTTCGTCCATGTTGGATCCTGTGTTGGAACTTCCTTCCTTATCAAGGATGAACGATATTTCCTTATAAGGCTGCGTGTGTGTGTGTTTTTTAAGATTTTACTTATGTATTTTTTAAAATTTGTTTATTCATCTTTTACAGGGGAAGGGAAGGAGAGGAGAGAAATATCAATGTGTGGTGGCCTCTCGTGCATTCCCTGCTGGGAACTGGCCTGCAACCCAGGCATGTGCCCTGACTGGGAATCGAACCGCAATCGTGTGGTTTGCAGGCCCGCGCTCAATCCACTGAGCTACACCAGCCAGGGCTACTTATGTATTTTTAGAGAGAGAAGAAAGGAGGGAGAAAAACATCTGACGTGTGAGAGATACATTAATCCATTGCGTCTCGCATACCTCCAACTGGGGACCTGGCCCGCAACCCAGGCACGTGCCCTGACCGGGAATCGGACCAGTGACTCTTTGGTTTGCAGGCCAGCATTCAATCCACTGAGTCACACCAGCCAGGGCTACGAGGCTGTGTTTTAAGGTTGGCAAAACCCAGCCTATCCACAGCCCCTCAGTGTCCAGCACTGGGCTGTCCAGCGGGACTTCCTGGCACGATGGAGACGCTCTAGACCTTGCCGTCCCTGAAGGCAGCTGCTGGCCCCAGGTGATGTGGCCACCTGTGACTGAGAATCTCCACTTTCAATTTGATTTCATCTAAATTACGTTTAAATCACCTCACGTAACTAGTGCTGACCACACCAAACAGGCCAGGGCTGGACTACGATACTCACCCTCCACTTTGGGCTATTCCCCAGTTTTTCTTCATTCCCTTTAATCATCCTCTTGGTCCCTGCTGTTCACAGGGACAGGAGATCAGGGGCCTGGGAGCTGTTTTGCTTTTGGCTTTAGTGTGTCTGCATTCACAGGCCCCAAGCAGCTTCCGTCCAGGGAACGGTGGTGACACTCTGGCAGCCACTGACTTCGAAGCAGACCAGGCAGCATTCCAGACCCTCCACGGGGACCCCAGACCCAGGCTGTCTGCAGCAGCAGAACCAGAGGCACGCCCAGCGAAGTCCAACCATAGACAGTATCCTTGGAAACCAGAAAAACCACACCCCTCCCCATCCCCCATAATAAGAGGAAGTGGTGCTGGGGTGAGGACTAGAAACCCAGGAGGAAAGTGAGTCAGTTTGGGGGGGAGTAAGGGGGGGAGCCACGTCAGACAGCCACATCACAAGCCTCTAGCCAGCAGGAGAGAACATTCCCTCAGCAGTTTTCAAGCCCCCAGCTTGTGGTGGAGGGAAGGGAGATGCGCTGTCCAAGGAAAATACCAAAGAGGCTGGTGTGGAGGCCCACACGTGGTCCGTGTTAACAGCAGGCCGGACTGGGAGGGGTTGGCTCCCTGGCCCCGTCTCCCCAGAGCCCTGTGTCCCAGAACAGCTGGAGCAAGCTGCGGAAAAGGGCCGGGGTGACTGTCCCATGCAACTGCTGATGGACGAAAAGCCACGTGGTCCCCAGAACAGGACCTGATAATGCACCTGGGCCTGCTCTGCAATGCGTGGTGGGTTGTGTT